TCACTGCCAGCCACGTTGTGCATGTGCAGGGCGCCTTTCAGCTACGCGGCCTCGCTCCCCTGTCTACCCAGGCCTCCCAACGAGGCTCGCAGCAAACCAACCCCAGATCGAGCAGAATCGCAAACCGTCGACACCGAAGCCTGTGAACATCGCCGCTGTTCTCTTGGTGCGCAGCACTGTCTACAAGGCTTCGCCGTCGTGGCGACGCTGGCGGCGAGGGTTGGGGGTTCTGTTACAGTGGGGCCTCGGCCACAAGAAACCTCCGCAAGAAACCCAACCCTGAAATCCGCGATTTGTTGAATGAAAACCCACATTTGTCGATCGAAAATCATCCAGGTCTTATTGGGGACCCATCGAGGTCCAAGAAACTCAGGGCACCCTGGCAAAATCCAACTGGTTTCTTGGCACGCGCCCCCACTGTAGCCGCAGCGCCAATTTGGGAGGCCTAGAGTCTAATCTGTTCAACTTCTCCAGCTTCAGCTTCGGAGGCTTGGCGTCGGGCTCGCCTCTGCTCCTCTCGCCGACCGAACGCCCAGGGGGGACCTGGGTGGGCAGGGCCAGAGGGAGAGGCTCTGGCGCGGGGCGAAAGCAGCGGGAGGGGACGCTGGCCCTCGACCCACCCTCGGCCCACCCGCAGACGCCCGGCCGGCCAGCTCCTCATGCGGGCCACCCTCGCGACGCCGCACATGACCGTCAGCTTCTCGGTGACCTGCTTCATCTGCTTGCCAGAGCGGGCCTGACTGACCCTGACCCCCGACTCCCTCAGTCCGCGGGCGATGTCTTTCAGCTGGGCTGCCTGGTTGCCTCTCTCGAACGCACCAGCGCTTGACGTCGCCCGTGGTGTGAGTGCTGTTGAGTCGCGTGAAAAGTATGTAGACCGTTTGCTGCGACTGCTGCTGCGGTTGCCGCTGCGGTTGCCAGACGCCGACCGCAAGCCCCTTGGCGAGGGGTGATCAAAAAATCGCTCTATCACCGGGCCCTCCGCCGCAGTGTCTTGAAAGGCCCCCATCTTCCTGGCCTCCCTGCTCTCGCTTCTGAGGTTGCTGATGCAGCGGTCCATGTACTGGGAGTCTTGCAACATCAATCGCTGCCGCGTCAGCGCCTGACTTCGTGCCATGAGACTCCCTGTGGGCTCGTCGCGCAGATGCGATTTCTTCGCTGGATGCGGCTGCTTCTTTGCTCCAGAGGGGGATGACAGGGAACGCTGGAGCTGCGGCTGCGGCTGCAGCTGCTGCTCTGGCCTCAGCGTCACGCCGCGCGACAGGCCCATGCCAGCCGGCATGCTGGCGGAGAACGCCAGCTGGCCCTCCTCGACGTCCTGCCAGGGGGGGATGTACAAGCATGTGCTCCAAAAGTCATAGACAAGGGGCGGCCAGTAACCTCCTAAACAAGCAATTTAAATCCCCCAGACCAGCCGAACACTCCAAGGCCGCTCCAATCAGACCCATTCTCCTAATCAGAACCGCCCAAGGACCACCCAAGGATGCAGGGGACCAGGAGAACCAAGACAACAAAATGATTGTGGCGCGGTCTCGCGAAAACTAAACGCCTCCCATCCCGCAGACGCGCATAGACAGGACGGGTGCCCCCCAAGAGCAATATGCTAGAGATCACGAGTTGAGCCCACTGCAGGCAGAGAGCCCCCGACAAAGTCTATTTCGCAACGCCCTCACGAGCAGGCTGGCTCAGCGCATGCTGTTACTGCAACGGCGTGAGCGTTACTTTTGAAGAGGGCACCCAGGGTTCGAATGATGGTTTCAACGCAATGCTACTAAAACGTCTGCTGCAACTGTGTGTCATTGCTGCTACCACTGCTGATACGGATGCTCTGACCTGCAGCAGCTACTGCTCTTGTTCTCCCTGCCGCCACTGACACCACTGATCCGCAACCGTGCCCTTGAGGCAGGAGTTGGAGTAAAACGACCGGCGTGCTGACCCCCCCCCCTTCGCGACAGGAGGTGCGTCGCGCATTCGTCGCCCGTGCGCCGCCCGTGAGTCGGCCGCCGAAAAGGCCAGCCGTCCTCTCGAACGTGCACGTCGCCCTCGCAAGGGGGCAACATGGAACCTGAGGACTCCTCAGGTCCCATGTTGGATCCCCTGGAGACTCAGCCGTCAATCCCGAGAATTCGTTCAAGCAGGGCCCGGACCCCAAAATTGCCACATCGGCCGGGGCGCGTCGCGTGACCCCTGGGGGCAGATTCTCGCTTGACGTGTTCGGGCCCAAGGGGGGCCCCAAGACTGCTCCGAGAGGGCCTCACGAGGCCCTCAGGACGGTCCAGAGGAGCCCCGAATCGCCGCTCCAAGACACGCTCAATTACCTGCAGTCGGCCGAAGAAGCACCGAGGACGTTCCACGAGGCATCCGCGAGGCCTCCGAGGAGGGCCCCAGGAGGCCCAAATGGTTTTCGAAAGACGTGGGCGTTCTCGCCTCTTCGGCTTCCCGACCCTCCAAGACAGCACAAGAGGCCCCCAAGATCGCCCCGAGCAGCTCAAGAGGCCCCCTCGAGGGCTCCAAGACGGCCAAAAAGAGCTCCAAGACGGCCTCCAAGACGGCCCAAGAGGACCCCACGACGGCTCGAAGAGGGCTCAAGAAGCCCCCAAGACGGCCCAAGAGGGTCCCGAATCGCCGCACGATCGGCCCAAGACGCGCAAAATGACCTCCAGTCGACCGAAAAAGCACCCAGGACGTCCCTATAGGCTTCCGAGAGGCCTCCAAAGGGGCCCAAGAGGCACAAATCATTGATTTTCCTATTTCTTTTTGTTGTTTGATATTGGCGTTCTCGCCTTTTCGGATTCCCGTCGCTCCAAGACACCCCAAGAAGCCTCCAAGATTGCCCCAAGACGGCCCAATGGGCCAAGAGGGCGCCAAAACGGCCCAACAGGGCCCCAAGATGGTCCAAAAGGCTTCCAAAATGGCCCAAACTCCAAGACTGCTCCAAGAGGAGACCCCGACGGGGAACCCGAAGGGACATTTCGAGCCCTCGGCCCCGAGAGGCCCCCCGGAGGATCCAAGAGGCCCCCAAGAGGCCCCCAAGAGGCCGCCAAGAGGCACAAGAGGCCCTCAAGAGGCCCCCAGGAAGCCCCAAGAGGCTCCCAAGAGGCTCCAAAGAGGCCCCCACAGCCTCACAAGAGGCCCCCAACTGCTCCCAAGAGGCCCCCGAAAGCGCTCCGAAGAGGCCCCAAGAAGCATCCCTGAGGACTCTGATCCACAGCCCGGGCACGGTGGCTGGATGGGTCGAAAGCCATTAGACCCTGGGCCCGGCACAGACGGAAAGGACGCTTCAGAAACAGAAACCGAACTTACTCACACCACCGTTCGTACCGGGAGCCTTGGCGTTGCGAGCTTGTTACGTCACCCCTCGCTCGTGGGAGCCTTGGTCTTCAGAGATTGTTGCGTTGCCGCCCGTTCCTGAGCCTTGGCTGGGCCTTGGTGTCAGGAACTTGTTACGTCACCGCTCTCTGCTGGGAGCCTTGGTCTTATCAGCTTGTTTACGTCACCGTTCGCTCTTGGGAGCCTTGGTGTGAAGAGTTTTTTGCGTTACCGATCGCTCTCTATTTGGCGTCTCTGGGCCTTCTTGGGAGTTCTATTGAGGCCCTTTTGGAGCCCTTTTGGAGGCCTCTTGGGGACCTCTTGGGGGCCTCTTGGGGCTTCTTGGGGGGCTCTGGGGGCCTCCTGGAAGCTTCTTGGGGCGAAAGGCTAGACTTTTCGGTTTGTGGTCCCCCTCTTGGGGCCGTCTTGGGGCTCTCTTGGGCAATCTGGGGCGTCTCTTGGGCCGTCTTGGAGCCCTCTTGGGCCGTTTTGGGGGCCTCTTGGGAGCCTCGTGGGCTGTCTTGGGGCGGTATTGGGGGCCTCTGGGGCCGTCTTCAACGCCGTGAAAGCCGAAAAGCCGTGTATGCTAAACATGTACCTTTTCCCATCGGAAATCAATGATTTTGGCCTCCTGGTGGCCTCTTGGGACGCCTCTGGGGCTTCTTGGGGGGCTCTTGGGGGCTCCTGGGAGCATCTTGGGGCGAGCGGCTAGACTTGTCGGTTCGTGGTCCCCTTCTTGGGGCCGTCTTGGGGCCCTCTTGGGCAGTCTTGGGCGCCTCTCGGACCGTCTTGGGGCCCTCTTGGACCGTTTTGGGGGCCTCTTGGGAGCCTCTTGGGCCGTCGTGGGGCGGTCTTGGGGCCTCTTGGGCCGTCGTCAACGCCGTGAAAGCCAAAAAACCGTATATGCTAAAAATGTACGGCTTCCGTTGGAAACTATAGGATTTTGGCCTCGTGGTGGCCCTCTTAGGACGCCCCTTGGGCGCCTCCTGGGGGCCTCTTGGGCCGTCTTGGGCGGTCTTGGACTCTCTTGGAGCGCTCTTGGGCCGTCTTGGGGGGGAACCCGAAAAACATACAAAAACACAAGGGATAACCCGAAAACGGGCATTAAACCCATGCACTCCCCGTACGCCCCCCCCCCCCCCTGGACCCCCCCTTAGGGGGCTTCGCCCAAAACATAAAAACATGACTCTTACCTCGCTCTTTCCGTTACCTGGGCCCAGCACAGAAACGGAAAGAGCGCTTCAGACACAGAAACCGATATTACTCACACCACCGTTCGTACCAGGAGCCTTGGCATTGCGAGCTTGTTACATCACCCCTCGCTCTTGGGAGCCTTGGTGTTCAGAGATTGTTGCGTTGCCGCCCGTTCCTGAGCCTTGGCTGGGCCTTGGTGTCAAGAACTTGTTACGTTACCGCTCTCTGCAGGGCGCCTTGGTCTTATCAGCTTGTTTACGTCACCGTTCGCTCTTGGGAGCCTTTGTGTGAAGAGCTTTTTGCGTTACGATCGCTCTATATTTGGCGTCTCTGGGCCTTCTTGGGAGTCATTTTGGAGCCCTTTTGGAGCCCTTTTGGGGGCCTCTTGGGGGCCTCTTGGGGGCCTCTTGGGGCTTCTTGGGGGGTTCTTGGGGCCTCCTGGGGGCTAGAGGCTAGACTTTTCGGTTCGTGGTTCCCCTCTTGGGGCCGTCTTGGGCGCCTCTGGGGCCGTCTTGGGGCCCTCTTGGGCTGTTTTGGGGGCCTCTTGGGAGCCTCTTGGGCTGTCTTGGGGCGGTCTTGAGGGCCTCTTGGGCCGTCTTCAACGCCGTGAAAGCCGAAAAGCCGTGTATGCTCAAAATTGTACGTTTTCAAAAAGAATTCAATGATTTTGGCCTATCGGTGGCCTCTTGGGACGCCACTTGGGGGCCTCCTGAGGCTTCTTGGGGGGCTCTTGGGTCCTCCTGGGAGCGTCTTGGGGCGAGCGGCTAGACTGTTCAATTCGTGGTCCCCCTCTTGGGGCCGTCTTGGGGCCCTCATGGGCCGTCTTGGGCGCCTCTTGGGCCGTCGGCCCTCTTGGGCTGTTTTAGGAGCCTCTTGGGAGCCTCGTGGGCCGTCTTGGGGCGATCTTGGGGGCCTCTTGGGCCGTCGTCAACGCCGTGAAAGCCGATAAGCCGTATATGCTAAAAATGCAGGTCCTCCTATGGGAAATCAATAATTTTAGACTCTTGGGGGCCTCTTGGGGCGCCTCTTGGGCGCCTCTCGGGGCGTCTCGGAAGCCTCTTGGGCCGACCTTTGGGGCCTCTTGGGCCGTCTAGGGCCCTTCTGGGACGGAAAAAGGGAGAACCCGAAAAACATACAAAAAAAGAAGGGAAACCCGATAACGGCCATTTACGCCCATTCCCTCGCCATACCCCCCCTCTGCACTCCCCCTTAGGGGCTTCGCCCCAAACACAACGTCATCACTCGTACCTCGCTCTTTCCGTTATACCGACATCGCTGCTACCATTGATGGTAGCTGACATTACGTCTGCAGCTGGTACATATGAGGGAAACTGTGCTGCTCCTGCCGGTGGGGAACTTACTGCTGCTGGCCCTAATGCTGTCACGCCCGCTGCTGCTGAAGATGCTGCCAAGGCTGCTTCCTCTGCTACAGCATTGGACTGATGCCCCTGATACGACTGGCCACCTCGCATCCGCAAGGCCCCCAAAGATCCCCCCAGGAGGACCTGGGTTCTCCTGGGCCCCACCCACGACCCGCCGGGCCGCCCAACCGGACCCCGCAAGGCTAAATCCAAACGAAAAGGATAATAGAAGGATGACACATATATCCGTTATGATGGAGACGGACAAGGCGATGGTGAGTCACGAGGGTGTCAGAACGGCGATAATTTTCCGCTCCAGTCGGCCATGCGCCCGCACCCCCGAGGCACAAGGCAAGCTGACAGAAGCTGAAGCTTCATCAGCGATGGCATCCCGATGAAATTCACGTATGAACTGAAATTGAAATGGGATGCCATCTCCGCTCATCGGGCGCATTTTGAACAAAATAGTCGCGCATGGCTTCGCGGCATGTTTCGATCGCCAAGAGAATGGGCCACCACGAGTCCTCCAGCAGAGCTGCGAGGCACAGACTGGCGATCCGTCCCAGGAGCTGGGCGCACTGGCAAGAGCGACCAGCAAGAACCAGGATCTATGACCTGCCATCACAGGCCAGTTTGTCCTTGTTGGGCTTGAGGCTGTGCTCGAGTGTGGCCCGCACGGTGATGCCGCTGCAGCTTTCAAGGCGAGACCGGGACGGCATGGATGTCGGGGCCGTCGAGGTCGGCCGCCAGCACTCGGCCTACAGGAGGGCTGCCGATGCTGGCCAAGCGAAGCCGATCTCGAAGTTCTGGGCGCACTCCGTGCCCAGCGCGTCGGGCCGGTGCCTGCGCTTCAACCCGGTCTTCGAAGGGGCACGTGCCGCCGTCGGCTGTGTCTGCCGCGTTCCTGCTGGCGCTGCGCTTCCCGCCGGCACCGACCAGCCAGCACGCACTGCGCTGGCGCGCCAGAGTGGACGCGGCCATCCTTACGGCCATCGTGCTGGGCAGGGTCGACAAATTGTAGGTTTGCTAGCAAGTCTTGCAGCGCTGGCGCTGCGCACTTCTTGGTGAACTCAACGTCCGTACGCGGACGACGCACGGGTCCGCTCGCCGTTCGGCGGGCATCTAAATCATAGACCTTGAGCCACTTCATTAATAGCAAAAACAAATTGCCGAACACGTGCCCATGTACAATGTCAGTGCCTCCACCATGGTGAATCTGGCAGCCTAGGCGGAGGTGGAGACGTGCTGAGTCTCGTGCTCAAAGCTGTGCTCGTGCGGATGATGTCAGATTCGCGTGCTGCACTTTTCAGGGTCACTCCAAGAAACTTCCTGAACGCCGCGACGTGCTCATCCGAGATATTGTTCGGCTCACCGCCCCGTCCGACCAGGATGCTACGCACCCATCGGTCGGAAGAAGTAGGTAGAAACATGAAGAAGCAGGAAGGCGTTGAAAGTGGATTGGGTCCCGTCCGCCCACGATGGAGGACAGAAAAGGTGATGCCACTCGATAATTGAAGTAGGAAGGCGCTTAAAGCAGATTGGAATCTGGGACTCCCAACATTAGCAAATGATATTCCCAGGGGCACGGCTGCTAAAATGGGCCCGGAAACGCGCCCAAAACAGAACGGTCTCAGATTTTCCAGAAAATGAAGCAAAAACTCAACTACTCCCGGAAGGGGGTCGGACAAATTACACACGGCACCCCCATTTTCCAAAATGCGTGTAGAAATTCACCAACCCTGGACGGTTTCGTCGGTTTCGCCGGAGACATCCCCCGAAACATGGCCCGCGGCACCCCCGCCCCGACATGGCTCACTTTGGCGGCGCATTGCTTGCCGCCGTGCCCCCAAGAATACGGCCGGACCTAGGACAGAAGAATATCCCTCAAGAACTTGAGACCCTCCGCCAGCCCAACCACACAGAACATCCAAGGGTACCCTCCCCAGGATGCACAAGAGCATCCAACAAACACGAAGAACACTAGGGCACCCTCCCCGAACCGACCTCGATCTTATACCTTGGTTCGGCTGTACGGCTCCTGCCGTCGACGACCGCTGGGGTACCTCCGCGGCGGCGGCATGCAGCTCGGGAGCCGCGGCGCCTCGAGGGCTCTCGGGCCCGCCGTCGGAGGCCGGCCGCCGCGCGGCGAGCAGTCCCTGCGGCTGCCTCCAAAGCAGGCGCGGCGCCGCGGCCCGACGCGCGGCCACCTGCTCCGAGTCTCTTCAGTCGGCGTCGGTCGGGTCGGGCGAAAGGGGGGGATAGCAAAGGGGGGGGGTGAGAATCAGCTCACGTAGCTGATTTTCCCGGCGCCTCTCGGCGCCGGAGGCGGCTATGTATCGAGGAATGAGCCCCTCGGTGGGGCCGATACCAGCTGCATGCAGCAGATTTCGTCACCCCCCCTTTCCCAAACCCCCCCTTTCGCCCGACCCGAGTCGGGGGGGGGGGCGTCACCCCCGCCGACAGCCCCACACCGACCCCCGTCGCGGGCGGCCACCGCGCGCCAGAGGCGCTCCGACCCCCGCCGCGGCGCGACGACGAGGCGAGGCTGCCCCCGTCGGGGGGGGTATCCCCCCACGCTTACCTCCTACAGGCGGATTTTGGCTGAAAAATCAAATCTAATCGGAAATTAAACACAAAAATAGTCCGCCGGGCAATGAGTTCGCCCGCTCCCGGCCAACTCGAGCGCGCGTGCGGATCGCCTCTGCCGCACTGCGATTAGTTCGGGCATGTCCTCCTACAGGCAGATTTTGAGCGAGAAATTAAACATTGCCAAAACATGCACCAAAAAATGTCCAAAATCGTCCACTGAGCATTTTTTGATTGTTTTTTAATATTCCTCCTGTAGAGGGACATGCCGGACTTAAACCTAGAGCTGGCAAGCCGCGCCAAAGTTGAGGAACCGCGTCGGTACCGACGAGATCGCTGTTGGGGTAACTAGGCCCAGGCAGTTCGCGACCCGTGGTACGAAAACAATCAGCAGGGCTAGGTGCGCGCTCTGATCGCCCACGCCGAGCGGCTTGAACCAAAATAGCAAATGGGTGGGAATTCAATTGTGCTTTGATGGCGACAGTGAAGACGGTGACAGTGATGATTTTCCTTATGCCCAGCAACACGCGCCCGCGACGTGTGTGCTGAAGGCTGCTGCCACCTCGCTCCCACGGGCTCGCGTCCCGAGTGGCTGGCGCAGCTTTGCTCTGATTCGGTAGGACATGGGCACTAGACGGGCTAATAAGGTACGGGTAACTGGATCGGGGATCTTCGAGAGACAGCGGGTCCAGAGGATATATGTGCATATATGTATATATGTATATAGATGTGCATCTATATATATATATATATATGGCGAAAATACGTTCAAGGGCATCGAGAACATCATGAGACGACTCTGGAACAAATTATCCGTATCCTGAGGCTCCCTGACTCGGGGCGAGGACGGTGCGCCGAGGAGGGACAGGGTGAGGAAAAAAAACAAAATACACGGGCAGCCTTCAAGTTGAAACAACGACCCTCTTATACTTGGATGGCACTGTACCCAGGAATGTCGAACTCATTGCCAGACGAATCAAGCTTGAACGCGTTCTGCATCTGCTTTACCCGCTTTGGCATGACTTTATCCGGCTGCGGCAAGCCATCTTTCGTAAGTCCGGCCTCCCAGTAACGCTGGTACATTTCCCCCCAGTGGTCTTGGATCAGATCCTCGGCCTTTTTGCCGTTGTTGTCCTGGATATCCTTGTCGGCCCCGTGGTTCAGGAGCCAGATGACCGCCTTCGGGTTGTCAGACAGCACGGCCCAGTGCAGCGGAGTCCAGCCTCCCAGTGCATCCTGAGCGTTCAGCTCCTCCGGGGTAGCCTTCTCAAGCATCCTGAACCCCTGGCCGTCGAACATGCCACACTGAGCGCCGACGTGGGCAACGTTCCATGCGAAGTCATTGTGGCGCTTGCGGCAGCCCATGTACAGAAGAAGAAACAACGCCATAAGCATAAACTTGCGGCGCTCCGCGCGGATTTCTTGGACCTGCGCTGGACCCCCGTCCCTGGCGCGCGGAGCGCGCGAGGGGCCGCGCCAGAGGCGCCCCCAGAGGGGCCCAGCGCGGATCCAAGAAATCCGCGCGGAGCGCCAAAAGTGTATGTGTATGGCGTTTTTTCTTCTTCGAATGTAGTCCTCGGGCTGGAGGTACATGCAGCGCTTCTGGTTGTCGGGGTGCCGGACCCAGCTCGGGAGGCTGTACGACTGGAACGGCCTGTGGCCCTGCCTGTGCTCGGTCTTCACGATCCCGGTGCTCACCTTTGGGATTGCCGCTGGCCAGCTCTCGTCTCCGGCCTGCTTCGTGCTGGCGGACGCCATCCTGCGCCTCAGGCGGCTGCGCAGGCGGAGCGAGAGCTCACGAGACGGCGCAGTCCGAGCTCAGGGTGACTTGAGCCAAAGCGGCTACGGAGGGCACTCGACACACAAACGCTGATGACGAGACCAACGAACACGATAAGACAACGGCCTCAAAGAGGGCCTCACCTGACCGATACTTCAACAGAACTGAGGGGTGTGACACTGAAAAGAAGGCACATCACAATATCACTAAACAATGAAGGAAATGGACAAGGACAGAAAGCACGTACGAACAAAGGTACCGAATAATGCGAGGATACGAGGAAGCACAAGGAGAGGACGAAGACAATGAGGATGCGGAAATGAATGCTGACCTGGTGAAGGGACCACACGCAAACAACTTCACGCAACGTGGGTGCATAACCTCTCTACGAAGATCCATATGAGGGATGTGCCGACATAGGCGTGAGGACGCATGCACACTTTCCCACTGAGGCCGTAGGTGGACCTCATTAAAGATCATGGAGCGTGTGCGGAGCACGTCGGAGTGCGTGGGGAAATGCATGCAAGCGTCGTTCCCACTGGGGCCGTAGGTGGGGCTCGCGTTCGGGGTGTGTCCCGAAACACGCGGAAACGCGTACGCACACTTCCCCACTGAGGGTATGTGGAACTCCCTATGGGCGCACGAGCCTCGTGAGGGGTGCGCCAACATTGGCGGCGGCGCCGCCATGCGCACCCCGTCACTGGGGTCGTAGTAGAGCTCCGCATGGGGTAACCATCCCAGTGAAGGGTACGTCAACATGCACGGAGCCGACATGCGGACCTTGCGGCGGCCGTAAGTGGAGCTCCCTGTGGGGCCACGGTCCTCGCGGGGGGCGTGCCAACATGGGGGCGTGCCCACGTGGGGGCGGCGCCAACTGGGGCCGCAGGTGGAGCTTCCTATCGGGTGTTGCTAGAAGTGCTCCTGGCCCAAGGTGCCCCCAGGATTTCCAAGGAGGCCCCCAGGGCCTCCAGAGCACCCCTCACGAGGCCCAGAGGGCCCCAGGGGCTCCAAGATTGAGCGACAAGCTGGGGGCACCTTGGGCCAGGGGCACCTCCAGCAGCCCCCGACCCTGTGCTGCCACGATCCTCGCGAGGGGGGTGCCGAAACGGGCGGGAGGGGGGGGGGGGGCAGCTGGCACGTGGGGCCCGCGTGCCGAGCCGAAGCGTGGTGGGCCAGGGACCGGCGGCGCGGCACGCGCAGCAAAGACGGCCCCAGACGGCTCCCGAAGAGGTCCTCCAAGGCCAAACATACACACACACACACGATTCTCCCAGTGTGTGTTTGACACGTGTGGGGTACAGTCATCGGCCTGACCTACGGAACGATATGGAACGAAACCCCTTTTTTTTTTTTCCCAGGAGTAACGCATAAGGAACGATACATGATAAACAACGCATGAGGAACACTGAAATAACGCATGCAGGCCTAAATAACGGCCGCGCCCCCTTTTGAAAAAGAAGTGTTCCTTATTCAGACCGCTCACTGCACTTGCATTCTTGCCCAGCTTCCGAGCGCCCGCGACAGCCCAAGAGGCCCCCCAGGATCGCCCCAGCAGGGCCTCCGGACCAGACGTCTCCCAAGAGAGCCCCCCCGAGCCGACCAATCGCGGGAAGCAAACCTGGCACTGGGAGCATTTCCCTACAGGATAACACCAATAGGCCCCCAGATGTCCCCAAAGCACCCCCAAGAAGGCACTCGAGAGGCTTCACAGACCCCCCAAGAGGCCCCCAACCAGCCCCTCGAAACTATCAAAGAGGCCCCAAAGGGCAGTAGAAGGGGCCAGACGGCGCAAGAGCGCCCCAAGACAGCCGAAAGAGACACCAAGAGGCCCCCCAAGGCTCCCAAGAGGCCCCTAAGAGCCACGCAGGGGCCCCCAAGAAGCCTCCAAGAGGCTCCCAAGAAGCCCCCGAGAAACCACCAAGAGACCCGCGGAGTTGCATACGAATGGCGCGCTGCTGCCAAGCTCCTCAGAATTTGCCCTTGACGTTGCCTTGTGCTGACACGCGGTGACTGCGCACTGCCCTCGTGGACATTCGCACGCTTGTCCCAACGCTAAAATCAAGTCGGTCCTATCCTCCTACAGGGGGATTCTGGACGATACATTTAAAATACTGCTATATGTGTGTATATATATATATATATATATAAATATACATATTAAAAATGACAAAACATAGTCCAAAATCGTCCCAAGACTATTTTTGCATTATTTTTGAATGTTCCTCCTGCAGAAGGACAGGCCCGACTTAACGCCAAAACTGCGGGGTGGGCGGGGGGGGGGCGCACCAGCCCCCTGTGGCGCTGCCAGCGCCCCAGGGCGGCGAAACGGCACGGCAAAACAGCGCGGCAGACGAGCAGGGCAAACCAACGAACGCCGAGTCTTTACGCGCTCTGGACGCTCCAGGTCCAAAAAGGAGCGCACCATCGTCCAGGCAGGCCGAAAGGGCAGGGGCACGACACAAGGGCCAAGTCACGATACTCCAAGGAAGCCAACCAAAGCAACCCCCTTCATCCCCCCCAGGGCCCCCGCCGAGTCGCCGACCCATTCCGTTCAATCTGGCACGAGCAATGAAATTCTAATAAAAACCAAAAAAGAAGCACTGATTTTGGAAGGCGCGCCGCTGGATACCCCCAGCGTGGGGGGGGTCCAGGACCTCCCCGCCTCCCCACCTTTCCCCAATCCGTCGTCGGCGGACACCCCCACTCCCCCCCTTCCCCGATCCGTCGTCGGAGGACCCCCCTTCCCCCCCGTGCGACAGCGGGAGGGGGTTCGAACCTAGCACCCCCTCCCCCTCCCTTTTAGATTCGAAATTTGGACCGTCCCCCCCCCCGTCGGGCCGACCAGGAGGGGATACGGGTATCCCCCCGGATGGGCCTCCTGAGGCCTCCTGGAGGCCTCCTGGAGCCCATGGGGCCCCCTGAGGCCTTTTGGAGCCCATGGGGCCCCCTGAAGCCTTCTGGAACACATGGGGCATCCTGAGGCCTTCTGGATCCCATGGGGCATCCTGATGCCTTCTGGAGCCCCTGGTACCTCCTGAGGTTTCCTGAAACTTCCTGGTGCCTCATAGGACCGTCTGGACCCGCTTGGGACCTCCTGATGCATTATGGAGCCTCCTGGGGCCTTCTGGGGCTTCTTGTGATATCCTGGTACCTCCTGTAACCTACTGAGATATCCTGGGGCCTTCTGGGATGTTCTGGAAACCCCTGTGGCCTCCTGCGGTCTCCGTGGACATCCTGGCCGTCTCGGGGCGCCACGAGGCCCTCTCTTGGGGCTCCCCGCGGCTGTCTTGGGCTGTTTGGGGCAGATCCCTGGGACTTCTGGGTACCGAAAATAAGTGAACCGAAGACCCTCCGAGAGCGCAGGGCTTGGTTCACTTATTTGGTTGGCATATGGCCGCGTCCGCCCCCCCCCCAGGACCGTTTCGGGGCAGGACATAATGATTTGTTCTTAAACTTCGTAAGGTTGATCCGTCGTAATACACACATAAACAATATACCATATATTTTATATATACTATATATATATATTAATATATATATACATATATATATTAATATATATATATTAATATAGATATATATTCATATATATATATGTATATATTCATAGAAATACATACATACATGGTCATAGAAAACAGATGGCATATATGTGTATGTGTTATGCAGATATACAGAGACATGTAGAAACATAGTATAGGCATCATGACAAATACCAGTACACATGATACAACTACGAATGTACGACGCGCATACCGACAGAAACAACAACAGCGCGCGCGTAATCTCTTGGAGCCGTTTTAGACATCATGGGAACCTCTTTGGGCCCTCAGGGGGTCTCTTGAGCACCTTCTTTGTGGATTGAAGACGTTATCGGGGTCATCTTGGGATCAATTCCTGGACCCTATCGGGGCTTTCTTAGCCACAAGCGGGGGTCGAAACAAGTGTGATGTCCATTGTCCAAGAGTTGTGAAAACTGTCCGATCGGCCCCTTGGGGTCCGACCTACAGCTAGAAAGTGGATTGCGTTTGAAGAGAGGCAGCTCTGTTTTACCCATGACGATCGCGAGGCGAAACAGTATGAACATATGCTCAAGCTCTCAATCCCGCGCATTGGCCTGCTCAGCCACTCACCCTCTGCACATGCCCCTCCAGTGCAGGGCAGTGGCCATCTCGGCTGCCCCCCCTCCTCCTCCTCCCTCCCTCCCTCCCTCCTCCCCCTAAAACCGGATGGAATTTTAGGGGGGCCGGTTCCCCTAAAAATGGCCCCTATTTTAGGGTGACCGCCACCCTCGGCTGATGGCTCGAAATGTCCGTTCGGGCGCCCCGTATAGGCACACTCTTGGAGTCAGCTTGGGGAGCCTCTTAAGCCGTTTTGGAGGCGGCATGGGCCGTCTTGGGGCCTTCTTTGGCCGTCTCAGAACCATCGTTGAGACCTCTTGAGCCGTCTTGGAGCGATCTCGGGGGTGCATCTTGAGGTGTTTTGCAGGCCTCTTGGGAGAGGCATTTTAGAGATAGAGATCCCTATAAAACGGGGGGGGGGGGCATTTTCGATGGACCGGTCTCCCTAAAACGGGATGGGATTTTAGGGGGACCGGTCTCCCTAAAACGGGATGGGATTTTAGGGGGACCGGTCCCCCTAAAACCGGATGGGATTTTAGGGGGACCGGTCCCCCTAAAAATGGCCCTTATTTTAGGGTGACCGTCATCCTGGGCTGAGGGCTCGAAATGTCGGTTCGGGCGCCCCGTCTGGGCACACTCTTGGAGTCGGCTTGGGGAGCCTCTTAGGCCGTTTTGGAGGAGGCGGCATGGGCCGTCTTGGGGCCTTCTTTGGCCGTCTCAGAACCATCGTTGAGACCTCTTGAGCCGTCTTGGAGCGATCTTGGGGGTACCTCTTGAGGTGTTTTGCAGGTTTCTCGGGAGAGGCATTTTAGATAGGGCGACTCCTATAAAACGGAGGGCATTTTCGATGGACCGGTCTCCTTA